TTTTTTTTTTTTTTTTTTTGGAAAACGTGAAAATCTGGGTCGGTCGGACGATGCTAAACAGAGAAAAAAAAGGGGATGGCCTTATAATAATTCACTAAAGATTTTACTGTGTTGAAATGAATAAATAAATAAGTAAAATAATAGAGTTTTTACATGTATGTATGTGTAGAGCAGATCTCAAATGTGGGTATTTGTTTTTTAGGTTTTGTCCAATCCAGAGTTTTTGGCTGAGGGTACAGCCATTAAAGATTTGATGGAGCCTGACAGGGTTTTGATAGGTTGGTATAATCGTTATTTTTATTGAAGAAGCATTCTTACAAAATTAATGATGAACATATCTTTTGAAATTTAGGCTAACTTTTTCAAGATAGCTAAGTGCAATTTAATCCATCTGTATCATTCTCAGTCTTATTAGCCCATTAAGGTTATTATGGGCAGCCATGTAATCTTTTTTATTTTAACTTGTTTTTGTTCATCTAATTTCTAATTTCTAGCTGAGTACAAATAAAGTTGTTGTTGTTGTTTAGTGTCCTTGTTCTCCTATGTTTATGGATGGACTTGACTTGGTTTTCTTTGGTTTAAATGTAATGTCCATTTTGTAGATTATGAACAACATCTGACATATTAATCAAACTTGTACATGTACTTGTATGTTGTGAAACATTTTCCTTTAAGTGCATGACCTGTAGAGAGTATATTATTTGCCCACATTTCCTGACAAATGTGTTGATCAAATATGATTAATGTTACTGTTTATTTCGCAGGGGGTGAGCAAACTAGGGAAGGGTACAAGGCAATTGAAGCATTGTCAGCAGTTTACGAGCACTGGATTCCTAAAGAGAGTATTATAAAAACCAACACATGGTCCTCGGAACTCTCAAAGCTGGTTGGTAAACTGTGACTAATGGAACACTTTTAATTAATTGATATATTAATAGTATTTGGAAACTACATTTTGTTTTTTTTTTTTTTTATTATTATTATTAATTATCTATTTTTTACAGCACTCATACTTACATTATTAATTACAAAAACTACGTATAAAACTACAACAATACAGCTACTTACGCTAATTACAACTTGCTCTAATTACAATGCTTGACGAAACAACAGTATTATTTAAACCGC